CCGCGGCTGCCGCCCCCGCTCCCGCGTCGACCCGGGGCGAGCCGGCGCCGCCGGCCGCCGGCCGCTGCTGCGTGGCCGTCAGATGATGGCGCACGCGGCGCACATGACGGCCGCGCGCCAGCGGCGCGGCCAGCGCCAGGAGCAAGCCGAGCTGCAGCGCCAGACGCGCCGCCGCCTCGAGAAGGAGCGGCGCATGCGCGAGCAGCAGCAGCGCGCGCTGCGGGACGTCAGTGGCGTGACGGACACGGCGGAGCTGGTGTGCCGGCTCCAGGTGGGTGGTGGTGGGTCGGGCCGGACGACCGTGCAAGGCCCTGTCGTACCGTCATCAGTGCCGGGCTAGGAGCCGAAACAGCTGCCGTGGGGACGGTCTTTGAAATAGGCCAGTAAGTCAAAAAGGACCCGTGCTTGGTTGAGTACCGGGTTTGAGTTACGATTGATTTGGTTTGGACGCCATGTAAGTGGTGTCGGGTGACTGGGTGGATACCTGTCATTGATGACCGCGGGGACCTTCATAACCCGCGCGCCGTCGTGTCCTTGCAGGAAATGAAGGAGGGTTGCGTGACTGGAGAAGACCAGGATATAGTGGCGGCCGTGCAATCAGTCATCAACACATTGCTGCTACACATGAAGACAATGAACGGGGTGGACACGGCGGTAAGCGGTGACTGTGGCTTGATGCATGGCATGTACCATTCAATGGTTGTCGCGGTCATTCACTGTCACTGATCGTCAATGACATTGATCAAATCATGTCGTTGATTCGAATGTGTGAAAATTCCACCTGGAGGCAGTTTGAGGATGTTTACTGGAAGTTCGGCTTGTAGTGATGTAATTCGATTCCTCCTGTCATCTTCACATTAGTGGCGGGCCCTATTCTCCCTGCATTGGGATTCGTAGGAGTGCGGCCCGCCGCAGCCGCCGTCAGACGGCAGCAGCGCCTGACCCGCGGCCGGTGTCTCAGGCGCACTTGAGGGACGTGCTGTGGGAGCACTTTCTGCCAGGCAAGGGCCAGGTGATGCTCAAGTACAGGGGCGACTCAGCCCGGCGCGTGCGCGAGTACATGTACCAGATCATCCTGCTGCTCGAGATGTGCTGGGTAAGTGACTGGGCGGGCTCAGGTCGCACGCGAACTGGTGCTGCGCTGCTTCCCCGCCGCGGCGGAGAGGCTGCCGCCGCCGAGACGCTGGTCGTGTTCAGTTTTTCCACAAGTTTTTTTTTTGCTGCAAGCCGAAGAGGTCACAGGCAAAAAAAAATTAAATATGTGACAGTGCATACCGTTGATTTGTTTCGTTTCGAGGGTGTTTCGCTGTAAAGTCTGCAGCTCTGTTTTATGTTAACATGTTGAAAAGGAAATAGTAAATGAGCATGTCTCATGTTACAGCATTCCAGGATATGTGAGCAGCTGCCCCGTGCCGAATCTCAACAGTCGCCGGGCGTCAAAATTTCGAGAGCTCAGTCTCAGAGCAATTCTCTGTCTCAGATCTCAGTCAGCTGACGTGATCGGTGTCAGATGTCAGTCAGGTGCCGGAAGTCAGTCAGCAGTCAGCTGACGGCGTCTGTGTCGGCTGTCAGTCAGCAGTCAGCTGACGGTGTCGGTGTCAGTGTCAGTCAGCAGTCAGCTGACGGTGTCGGGTCAGGTGTCAGTCAGCAGTCAGCTGACGGGTCGGTGTTAGATGTCAACAGTAGTCAGCTGACGGTGTCGGTGTCAAGTGTCAGTCAGCAGTCAGCTGACGGCATCGGTGTCAGGTCAGTCAGCTGTCAGCTGACGGCGTTGGTGTCAGATGGTCAGCAGTCAGCTGACGGCATCGGTGTCAGTGTCAGTCAGCGTCGGCTGACAGTGTCGGTGTCGGTGTCAGGTGTCAGCTGTGTCGGCTGACGGCGTCGCTCTTACCGCAGGTGTTGGGTGGTGAGGCGTGCGAGGACGACAAGTACCAGCTGGTGGACCTGCTGCGCATGATCTCGCTGCACACGGCAGTCCGACCGTCATGACTGAGTTCATGCAGGACGTCATGGTGGACAGGTGGGTGGGGAGCAGCGGTAGGGCTCGGCCCAGACGTTAGAAGCTGCAAAATTAGGTGGGAAGTGCTGTTGAAGAGACGCTTGTTCAGTTACGGCCGACAAGGCTTCATGGCTTTATGCTTTATTTGGCATCATGCCTTTGGCTGTTTTATGGAAAGCTACTTTGTGTTTTTACAAATGTCCCTGGTAAATCGTTTTGCCCAGAACGGATAACACACCGTCCTAACTCGCGACCGACGGTGTGTGTTCGGTCAGTTACCAGCACACGCAGCCGGACCTGCTGCTTGAGCTGTACGACGAGGTGAGCCGCCCGCCGCCGGCCGCCCTGCTGCACTGGTCGTGTCGCCCGGCCGGCCGGACAGCTGCCGGCCGCCGCCCAGCGTCGCCAGCAGCGGCCAGCAGCCGCCCAGCGTCGGCAGTTTGCTGAGCGCCGCCTCCGGCCCCCCAGCCAGCCTGTCCTGCTGAGCAGGTCAGCAGGCGGGGCCGAGTCCGCAGGGCCGCGTGGCGGGGGCGGCCCAAACACTCAGCAATGTGTCACCGGTCGCGTCAAGGAAGCACGTGTTCTTCGCGGCCACCTTTTGTGGTTGAGTCCGTGGCGGATTTCCTGACTGTTGATAGCGTCTTGTGAGATCGAGAGCAGGCCATGCAGTGAAGTGGCTCACCCACCATAAGGCGCGACATTTAAACGGGCGCCCCCGGATCCGGGTGTGCTGCTCCCGTCCCTGCGCTGCCCAGCTGATGGTCTGACGGTGTTGCCGCCTGCCACTGCCTCTCAAGGTTCGAGCTGTGCGCGTGCACCGAGCCGACGTGGGGTCTTGTAGTTGAGTGTTCGGGCCGCTGGCCTGCGTACGGACAGAGAGCCGGCTGTCCCGCATCCGTGCTGAGCTGTTTGGTGGGCGGTACAGGAACGCCAGCCTCTCGAGGCAGCAGCAGTCTGCTGGAGGCCACCAAGAAGCGGCAGATCATGGTGCCCAAGCCTCGCGAGATGCCGCGCCACCAGAGCAACAGCAGCGGCAGCAGCCGGTCCCACGTCCTGGCCTCGGCCGCCGCCGCTAAGGCCGCCGCAGCCGCCGCTGCCGCGGCTGCTGCCCGGGCCGCGCCGGCCAGCGCCGGCAAAACAGGCGAGCGCTTCGGCCCATGTGATGGGATGGGTGGGGGGGATGTCTCGAGCCGCGGATGCGGGGGGGGGGGGGGTGACCTATGCGTTAAGGTCGCGGCTCAGTCTTAGAACATTGGTCGGTGTCTTGTTTTGGTGTAGCTCGTTTGTTACCGAGGCCTCCTGTGTTATGTCTCGGTGTGCACCATAGTTGCTTGAGCCCTCATTCCGTAGCTAATCACCTGTCAGCTGCGTATGCCTTTGTGGGCTGTGTGCAGAGAACCATTTGTGCAGTCTGCTTGGACTCTATTCCGGCACGGACGAAGTGATTGGATCGAATGCATTCATATCGACACTGCAGGCTGGCCTGACAGCTCACGGTGCCCGTGATATCTGGTGCGTCTCGGCTGCCGCCGGTGGCCGACCTGCTGACGACCGCACTGTGCCCCCAGGCGAGAGGCGCTCACCGTCTGCCGGCCGGGTCAAGAGGAACCTGATGGATGCGCTGGGCCGCAGCCCGCGCCGCGCGCAGCCGGCGGCGTCGGCGTCGTCGGCCGTCCTCGCCGCTCCGTTCGCTCAGTAAGCGCCCCGCCGCCCGGCGCCTCGGGGTCAGAGCCGGCCGGCGTGTGCGCTGATCAGCTCGGTCGGACGGCTGGCGTCGACCGCGGACCACGCCGTCCGGGGTCGTTACGTCTGGCCTTGTGGCGGACTGGTGCCGGGAGACTGCTGTCGTGCTCGGTGGTCCTGTCCGGGCCAGTGTAACCCTGCCGGTCACCGCGCGCTGGAGTCGGCCGTGCCGGTCGCCGGCTCGCCTGGTGCTTGTCATCCAACCACTGGCGCGCGTGGTCAGAACCCCCCGTCGACCAGGACAAGCCCCAGATATTCCCCGCTCTATTGACGGACGCTCTGCCCGATAATTGTCCGCACTCTAGCCAACTTAAATGTACACTCGATAATTATTGACTTAATTATATGCTAAGGAACTTCTCCGGCCATGCCTAGTGATGTATACCGGTGGATCACTTGCCACTCGGTATTGGCTGACTGTTGACACTACTTGTATTGTTTGATGTTTTCAGCGCACCGTGTATTACCCCAGGCTGCGCTTGTACGTGCTCAGCTCCGCTGTAGCGTGACCTATGACCTGTAACCGGCCTGTGACTGGCCTGTGACTGTAACCTGTGACTGACCTGCAACTGTGACTGCCTTTGACCTGTGATTGTGACTGACGTGTGACTGTGGACCTGTGATTGTGGCTGACTTGACTGTGACTGACCTGTGATTGTGACTAACCTTGACTGATGACTGTGACTGTGACTGACCAGGACTGTGACTGACTGACTGTGACCTGTGAATGACTGACTGACTGTGACCTGTGCTTGGCTGTGATCTGTGACTGACTGTGACCCGTGACTGCGACTGACTGGCCTGTGACTATGACTGACCGATGACCTGTGACTGACCTTTGACTGACTGACGTGTAACGGTGGACGCTGGGTGCGATCCTGTAGCGGGTCGGCTACCCTGTGCTGAGCTCTCCGGTCCGGCGTGCTCCCCAGACTCGTCGTTCGTGCCGGAGACGCCGGTGCAGGCGTGCCGCTCGCGCCGCCGGACCGGCCCCGGCGCGGCCGTCGTCAGCGAGAGTCCCGACGGCAAGGAGCTCGGTACGTACCGGCCGACCGCCAGCCGGGCGCGGGTGGTGCCCCGGCACAACTGACAGGCTGATGTGTGGCTGTGATCGCTACGGGGCCTTAGCGATGACTCGGTAATGCCGCCGCTGTGGAGGGGATCCCTGCCGACCCGCTGGCGGGGTGTGGTCCACATGACGTCATTACGTGATCGCTGAGGCGACCGGCATGTGGCATGGTTCACGCCTTGTGTGTCAGCCTACCTGGTTGCGTCCAAGTTGCCGCTGGAAACCCCGCATTGTTACAATAAGTGGTACTGTTCAAGTATGCTTCTTCTTGCCAGTTACATTTCATGTTCGTGTCGGTGTGATGCAGATAACGTGCTTTTATGCAAAGTATATGAGAAGAGAAACATTTTCTCGCTACGTTTTTGCACATGCACCTTGCAGTTTATGTTTTATATGAGAATGGAGTGTGGTCGTGCCGTTTGTCTCCGCCAGCCCGCTGCACTGCGGGGTATGTGTTGCCGGCAGGCGAGGACGGTCTGACGCCACGGCGCGCCTCCCAGCGGCTGACGCTGTCCAGGCGCGCCTCCTTCTACAACGTGGACGACGGCTCGCGCCACTTCGCGCGCGCGCGCCACCGTCTGATGGCCGAGCGGCTGCAGCGGTCGGCGCCGGCGCCGGCCGCCGCCAGCCGGCTGCCGGCCGCCGACCCGCGGCTCTCATGAGCCACCTGTTCGGCGAGCGCGGCCGCCAGCCCGGCGCCGAGTCGACTTCGCTCGTGGGGTCTCGACCCGACGTCGCCGGCGTCGCGGCCGGCCGACGACGGCGGCGACGGCGAGCCCGTCACGCCCGGTCGCCGCGTGCAGTTTGACCTGACCGCCGGGCCAAGGGGGCGGCGCGGGCCGGCGCGCGGGCACACGGCACCGCGCAGCATCCCTGAAGGGTAGCCCCGACCTCTTCAGCACGCCGCAGAAGGGCCACGCCCGCACGGGCGCCAAGCGCAAGCGGGCTGTTTGAGGCGACGCCGAGCAAGGACGAGCCGGCCTCACCGCTGTGCGGCGCCGCCGCCGGTGAGCGGTCGCCTCGTCACAGCCGGCCACGCCGCACGTGACGCCCAGACCGGCCTGTGGAGCCGGCCCCGGCCGCGGCGTCGCAAACCGGGCCGGCAGCCTGCTCCTCGGAGCTACCGCGACGTAAACCCGACCGGCCTCGCCGAACCTGTTCGGAAGAGGAGCCGGATACGCCGCAGAAATCCCTGACCGGGTCGGTGGTCTACCCGTCGAAGTCGCCGCGAAGTAAGCCCGCCCGGCCTCGCCGAACCTGCTCACAGGAACAGCTAGACACGCCGCAAAAATCCCTGACCAGGTCGGCAACCTACCCGTCTGAGTCACCGCGACGTAAGCCCGGCCGGCCTCGCCGAACCTGCTCACAGGAGCCAGACACGCCGCAAAAATCGCCTGCCAGGTCGGCGGTCCACCTGTCGGAGTCGCCACGGCGTAAACTAGGCCGACTTCGCCGAACCTGCTCGCAGGAGGAGCTGGACTCTGCGCAGAAATCCCCGACCGGGTCGGCGGTCTACCCGTCGAAGTCGCCGCGACGTCGGCTACGCCGAACCTGCTCACAGGAGCCGGACACGACGCAAAGATCGCCGGCCAGGCTCCGGCCCGGACATCGGCACGCCGTCGCGCCGGCTGGTGGACGCGTCACGGCGCGCCCCGTCCACGCCGCCCGGCCGGCTGCGCGCGGCGTCGCCGGCGGGCGACCGGCTGTCGGGCGCGACGCCGGAGAAGAAGTCGCCGGGGAGGCCGCCGGAGGCCGGTGGTGCGGCCGGGCTGGGCGGGTAGCCCTCTAGTGTCGCGGCGCCGCTCCGGCTCGCGCCTCGGCCGCGAGAGCGAGCCCGACGCCGTGCGCTCGCCCGCCGCCGGCGCCGAGCCGCGCACGCCGAAGCGGTCGGATTCGGAGCGGAGCGCGAGCTGCTGGTGCCCCGCCTCCGCTGCTGCGCACGCCCAGCACGTCGCCAGTGAAGAGGCCCGGCTTGCTTGGGCGGCGGCCGAGCTCGAGCTGACCCTCGCCGACACCAAGGCGGCGGCGGCCGGCGCGGGCCGACCGTTCACCGGAGCTCAGCGAGGCCGGAGACGGGCTGCAGGAGGCTATTGGCGTCTGGTGGGTGCCGCGTCGGCTCGCACCCCCACCACGGACCGGCCAGCAGCTCCCGCAGCGGCGCGTCTGAGCACTGTCAGT